CTTACGGTGGGGTGAACTTTAACTATATGATCTAATGTGTAGGTCTAGAATAAAACGGCGAACTGCATACAAAGTGTAATGAACATGTCCAACTTTCAATTGAGTAAAACAAAACAGGTAAAATAGGAAACAATACCACCTAAACACACATATTATTGTCAGGTATGTTTCTGATCACTGTCTCAACTGTCACCTCAAAGTTAAACAAGTTTGTGTTGACCACCGTAACGGTCACCTTTTTTCTAACAGTCAAACAGTCTGGTTTCCGTTTACCTCTCAATTTCCCACGTTCATGGACAATGGGGAGTATAATGACAGAGAAACATTCAGCTACAATGAGACATTTTAAATCCCCCGCTAACAGCAGCTAACAAGCGTTCATCATCCGGGGCATTTGGTCACTTACCAGAAAAATATCTTGGACACCAGGCCGGCCGAAGCCGCCGGGTTGGTCTTGGTTTCTTTACTGTCTGTTTTCCATGGTAGCCCTCACTCACACACGGTAGATTTCACTTAGATTTTAATCCGCTCCTCTGGGCTATGTAGAGAAACTTCGGTTCACGCTTGTATTACATAGCTCCTCCGACATGTCACGGCCCCCTAGTTGTAAAAGTTTTGCGCCCCAATGTGTGTTACGTATCACTCCCGGCACACGAGCTAGCGTGTAAAAGACATTAGAAATCACCTTCATAGGCCCCGCCCCAGAGACCCCTGGATTGGCTGAAGATAATGATCGCCCACCGGGATTGGCTCTGTGTCCAGCTCTGCTTTCACTCGATTGGCTGAGAACATTTCCAGCACATATAACTGAATTTGCGACATGTGGAAGCTTGAAAGGAAAACCTGAACATCCACAAGTAGGATAAAGCAAAGCATTATTTAGTGAAGTATAAACTTGAACTTTGATTCACTGTCAAGGACAGCTGTGTAATGACTCACTTGACTCTTGTACAGTATTTCAAGGTTATTTCCTATTTTACATTGTTGTTTCTCTTTTTATCTGTAGGCCTACTTATGTTTAACAACCAGACCTGAATCCCCTCTGTGGGGATAACATGCTTGATAATATATAGTGTTGAATTATCATTATTGCCATTTTAAAATATACTCCCACAGTAAAATATAAGTTTTCCGATGGTTTAGTACGGAAAACGGTTCAAATGTGTCCGAGTCATTTCCTCTTTCATGTGGCTTGCCTCAGTCTTATCACAGTGACTCAGCAAAATCTCTCTTTATTTCACATAGAGTTGATAGTTGCACTAACTGACTTTATCTCAAGATAAACAAGTAATCATGCATCACCGTAGATACGAAAATATAGCTTGCTAATGTGGTAGTAGTGTAAAGTGTGAGTATTTTACAATCATAATTAGTACATGGTAAAGGAAATGACTGCATACAATGTCTCTTTAAGATAATTGTATTTGCTTGCTCTCTTTCTCTGTCTGTATTTTGTCAACTTACACAAACACAGAGAGACGTGATGGGGAAAGATATCCAGATGCCTCCTGACACACTGCAGGTGTTTCCTGCACTGGGAGAGTGAGATAAAACCGCCTCTCCCTTTACCCTCCATCTTACATTTCAAAGTTCAAGGGAACATTTAGAAGGTAAATAACCAAGGTAAACTATAATCCTGACATTGATCATCTAACGATAACAGACTGTATAAGCCCTGGTTCTCACACCTGGCACTTGATCCTCCTGTTGATATTTAGCTAGCACCGACTGGGAAAAGGGCTGAAGGAGAAAAGCCAGCAGGCAGCTGAACTCAGCCCAATAACATTCATCTGCAGGGATCAACACTCCTTTCCCATGCTACCCCAGTCCTGTGATAGGCCAACCTTGTCATCCCACATATCCCCAGGTTATTCTCTCACATGAATGGGCACAAAGGAAGAAGTGCACACTTTGTTTCCCTTTAACAACAGGTTACAAGATATAGGGCATGTCTGTTTTGATTCAGATTGAATAAACTGTTACATACAGTACCATGTGAAAACATTTGTCAATGAAATCCTTCATAGGGAGAACGTTAATGTAAAAAATAGTACGGAAATATAAAGAATGCAGCATTACAGGGGAGATTTCACTTTTGCACTATATGATGCAATTCCATGCAAACTTTGTACAAAGTGCTATAAACAGTCAAAAAGTATGGAAGCCTTTTATCATTATTACATTGATAGTATAAACTTCAATAATTAAAATGTTATTCAACAAATGTTCCATGTATGTATGTATGGGTATTTGGAAATATATCAATGAAAATGTAATAATCCAATTACTATATTAATTTTCACATAATCATATGGACATTTTATGACAACATTAAAATAGGAAATGTGTTTTAATATCTTGCTTACAAAGGTAACACAGTAAATAATATGTGTTATTGTTAATGTATGCTAAATGTTCATTAAAATGTGAAAACTTAAATGTAATGATGTAACTGAATTCAAGATATTTTTTAACCCCAAATGACATAATTTGTGTATATATACTGCATTTACATAATGACTGTTTTCCAGGTCAGTTGAAAGATAATGATCTTATCATATTTAGCTGTTAATGGGATGTCACCAACAGGTTAACACAGATAACAACCTGTGCCAGATGCTTCCCTTTCATTGGTAGATTTACAGGATTAGGGTCCCCTCTGAGATTGCACGGCAACAGCGCCCTTGGAAACGACTCACGGCTTCAAATATCTAGAGGTTTGAGTAACAATGTTCTGAGCACCGTCTCACTGTCATTTACCTGGCTGTAGTTTTCCTAGAAGGCTGACTGTTTGAAAGCTGCATACATATACAGTTAACTGACCCCAGGTAAATATAGAATGTTTGCAAATGTTTGGGGTAATTATTTTCCCCGGAAACAATCCCTATTTCTTGACAAAGAGAGCTTAAATCCTAATCCTTGTTTCAAAAAAAGTTTTCAGTTTTCAGTACAAGATTAGGATTGAATGTATTAGTACCTGGCTGGCTGCCTAATTCTGCTCACAGGATTGATTATTCACATTGCTCAACATGTTCTATTTGAACTTGTAAATTCCAGCCAGAGGGAGGATTTGTTTTACTTCTATGCTTTGTTGCTGCTCATCTTACTGACAGTATGAAATCAAATCACGTTGTCCACAGTAACAACATGTCTTTATCACAAAGTGTGATGTAAAGACAGCACAGAACAGACTATGAACACAGATACAAATAGATTACATTCACAAAAAACATCAACTGTAAAGCATGAATTAAGAAACCACAAGGGATGAAGATGGTAGAGAAACTCAACCATTACAAATATGTATAAAGAAATGATGATTGAGCTTAAAAAAAGGAAAGCATTGATGAAATGTAACGTAACACAATTTCAGCTACTTTACTTATACTGTCCTACTTTGTACTTTGACTATGTTTGTATTTATACTTGTAATCCACTATATGTATTTAACAGTTCTAGTTACTTTTAGATTAAGTCATTACAAAATATTTGTTTTTGATTCATTTGTATAGAGACACCAGAGAGTTTGACCTTATCTAAGGGGCTTTTTAGCATTCGCTGAATACTTTTTATTTGTGTGGTATTGGTACTTTTACTTAAAGGTCAGAAAATGTCTTCCTACCCTGAAAATAGTGATATAATGCTCTTAAATATAGGTTTGTCACAATACAAATGAACTAGCAGCTGAAAAAGACCAAAGGCACATTGACTAACCTGTGACAGTTATAAAAGTTCAAGCAAGGCAGTTAAAGTGTGACTTGTACATGACCAATGTGGGCGAAAGAGACAAGACTAAATGGAAACACATTCAGTAGTAAAGGTTAAAGTCATAAAGTCAGCAAAATGTCCCACAGCAGTATCCAGAGTAATGTGAGCTAACCTTAGTTCAATCAGGAGAGACGTGATGTATGAGTACATGTTTATTATCGGGACACATGATATGCGGGAATAGTGATTGACGTATTACAACAAGTAACTGTAATGATGTTTTGGCGATTAGGCCCTGGGTTTGCAGGATGATCATTCAGGAGGGAAAGAACCGCTCTGATGAACCCCCCGGGGTCTAGACACTGGTGGTGGTGATAGTAGTTCAGTCCGATCTGAAGGGAGAAGGTTTAGCTTGGCCCTGTATTTAGGAGACAGGAGGCGAAGGGGTGGAGGAGGGTTGTGCGTTGACACCTGAAATGACAACTGACAGGAAGGGGAGAGCAGATTTAAAGAGGTTAGCAGGTGCAATGATTGGCTAGCCGGGGCGTAATGCCCCTGATCACTTATTGAAATAACGTGTGACACCCGATGATGATGTTGTCTTCCTGATTGAACTTACGCTGAGCTACATCAGTAGAACAGGTAAAGCTGTAGCATTACATTTAACTGGGGGGTGTATTATATCTTACTAAAATATATATTAGGTTAAGCAAAATAAACATATTCTTTCTTCTTTAAAACTTTAGTTAAAAGTATATAAGTGTATATAAATAAACATTGATTGATTGATTGATTGAGTTAAGACCACATGCTGCAGAAAGTAAAATAAGCATACAAGCAGAGAAATTGAAATACATAGTTAAACGTTACTGACAATTTGTTTGAATTGTTTCTCCATTATTAGCAAATATGTAACTTGACCGAAAATATGAAGCGTCTCCCACCATGCTAGCAGCTCTGTAAGACCTACACAATGCTAACACGCTAGGCAGTCCTGTAGGCTACTAAGCCGCTTTCACACCGGAGTGTGAAAAGCGGACCACAATTACAGGCCCTGATATAATATTCGGTTTGCTTAACTAGAAGCAAAGAGATAACATGACGTTCCTGATATTTGAAGCATCCTTTCCTTTCTGCCACTTGATGGAGCTGTAATGCTGTGCAACTAGTGTGGAGTTATATTGCATTGCCTTCACCTATTGCTGCTGCAACGAGGACCTGAAGTACTGGATTGTTGTATTTTGGTGCAGAACTGAGCCACATCATTCATTCAGTCAACCCTATCTCTGTTCCTAATCTTGTGTTTTCTTCTCTGTCAAAATCGTTTCAGATCCTTTCAATTAAAGACTTCCTCCTCTTGCAGATCCCCTTGCACATTGTGTGGAGTGATGGCTACCGTGCACCCTCCCACCACCACACACAAACACAATATACAGCTACTGATTGTGTGTCCAAGAAGGCCATGCACTTTTAAGTATTGATTTTCAGGCGTAGATGCTTGGCAGGTGGACGAGAAGCAGAATTCTCCAGAAGAAACAACACTGACGCACCTGTCTCGGGCCGACCCTCCCACCTCCTCTCTGTGTCCCTACTGAGGGATAGATCTCCGTCCTGTCCCAGTCGGGACATCCAAGCCGCAGGAAAAATGGGGAACATGGCAACAGAGATTGTAGCCTTCATCCTGGCCATCTCTGGTTGGATCCTGGTTTCTTCCATCCTGCCGTTAGACTACTGGAAGGTGTCCTCTGTGGACGGGACGGTCATCACTACGGCTACCTTCTGGTCTAACCTATGGAAAACATGTGTGACTGATTCCACCGGGGTGTCCAACTGCAAGGACTTTCCTTCGATGCTGGCTCTTGATCGTGAGTTGGAGTTGGTTTTTGTTGATGTTACAGAGATATATCTTGATGTGCATATGCAACTAGTCAAAGCAATGATGCCCAAAACACCTGTTGTTTTTGGGTGAAATACCAGCATTTCAGTAACTAAGCTTAGGTGGACTGATACAGCCTCTTAATGTGTCCGAATTAAGTCATATAAAGTCCCACAGTCATACAAAGGTCACTCGTCACTTCCCATGTCTTGCCATTAACAATAAACAAAGGCATTGCTATAATTCAAATAAACTGAAAGCAATTTATACATTTGTGTGGTTTCAAAGATACTAGTTATTATCTGTGGTCACTACCTGTTGAGTAAAAACTATGTCTTTCAAAGCAGTCATGCTGTACAGCACAGTTTTAAAACTCCTATGATCTGTATACATCACTGAATGCACTTCTTTGCCTTTTGATGATTTTGGCTGTGTTAATGAATATGTCTTCTCTAATATTAGATGTTTAACCTCAGCTCTTACAATATGCTGGTTATAAAGTATTTAGCCAAATACAGAAACTCACATATCCAAGACTGAAATCAAATGTACCTTTGCTATAGTCTATACTTTGATTTAATAAGAATAGTGGGATTTTTTAAAATACATTTTTTCCAAGTTTCTTGCCGATAGTTCAGTGAAAGGACTGATACCACTCTTATCTGTACAATATATATATATATATATATATATATATATATATATATATATATAAAGCAACAGGTAGGAGGATATAGTTAGCTAAGCTTAGATTTGTGGGTTTTAAATGTTGGTTTTGGTTAGAAATAAATATTGATTAATGAAAGAAAGACATATATAGCCAGGCTAGCTGTTTCCGTTAGTTTAAAGTCTTAGTGCAAAACCAAGTTAACCAGATGCTGGATGTAGCTTTACATTTAGCTTCCAGACATAAAGATAATCTTTTTTAAAGACTTTGGAACCACTAACTTAAGTCATCCCCCCTTGTGTGTATCTCTAAGCCTATATCCAGGTGTGTCGGGGTCTCATGATCGCAGCTGTATGTCTGGGTTTCTTTGGTGCCATCTTCGCCTTGATAGGAATGAAGTGCACAAAAATAGGAGGCTCGGAGTCCACCAAGGCTCGTCTGGCGGTCCTCTCGGGTTTCCACTTCATTCTCAGTGGTACCTTTCTCTGTCTCTGTATATATTGGGAATGCAGCTGCATGTTAAGGAAGCTGTTCAACTTAGGACTACATTTCACTGAATTACATGATCAGTTAGTTTTGCTTTGATTTCAGTCCTTATTTCTCTTTGCAGGCCTCTGCTGCATGACTGCATGCTCCATATATGCTCACAGGATCACAACTGACTTCTTTGACCCCCTCTTTGTTGCTCAGAAGTAAGAATTCAAGATTAAAGGAAATATTTGTTTCACAGCAGATAAAAGGAAGCCCAGTCACATATGTCTTCTTTTTCCTCTTCAGGTTTGAACTGGGAGCAGCTCTCTTTATTGGCTGGGCTGGATCTGTGCTGTGTATCCTCGGAGGTCTTGTCTTCTGTCTCTCCCTGTCTGAAGGTTCCAGGTAAATTGCTTGATTTTTCTAACATTCTAGATGCTATCAATGTGATCCCCCGTCTGTCATCAGCAACAAGGGTTTAGAAGAAATCTGATTTGGACGAACTCTAAACTGCACTTAGTTGCTTACTCAATCAGGCAATTTAAATAATTACTTTAACTGCAATGAAGAGATGGCAGCAATGGTAAACATGCAATAATCTCTCTCAACATCTTGTCTCATAATCGTTGAACCTACAGGGCAGATTGTATAATCGTCCTTTTTGATTAGTATTGTGGCCAACAGAGGCTGAATGTTTTCTTTGTTACAGTCCAGTAGTAAGACATGTTTCCAAGTGAAAGTCACCTTGACTGAGTGTAGCTAAAAGGAAATGTTGCATCAGATAAAGACTGCTAGCTTTCTCTTTCGGTGAAATATTTGGGTCAGAATATGTTTTAGTTAGTCCTGCTTAATATGGTGGTCATATTGTGAATAAAGACTAAGATAAATATCATTTTCAGCTAGGTTTTCATTACGAAATAACTAGAAAACTAATTAAATCAAGCCTTAGCTGTACTCATTCCTAAGTGTTTGTTAAGCAAATGATAGCATGCTAACCTGCTAAACTAGTGTACACTTTAAACCTGGTAAACAACAGCATGTTAGCATTGTCACTGTGAGCTTGTTAGCATTAAGCTGTCCCTTAGCACAGCCTAGCAGAGCTGCTAGCATAGCTAAAGGCGGTTATTCTTGTCATGTTGTGGCTACATCAATGAACCAAGAGTAAGAAAGCAAGATAGAACATTTGAACAATAGAAAGCTTGATTTTGTTCTCTTTTACTGTTAAGCAGGTTCCACGGGCAACATTTAAGCATGGCAGCACTAAATAGTTCTCCTGAATTATTAGATCTACCGACGTGATACCAAAAGATGCTTATCTAAGAAAACAAAAAATATATTTTGTGTTTGTTGACGGGCTTCATTTCTTATCCTTTTGTTTCTCTCTGTAGCGCTGAATACTCCTACACTGGAGCTGCATCATTTTCTAAAGCATGCCACAAACAAAGCAAGACAGTCAACCGCCTCCACAAGGAACCAGGGGAGCCATCGAGGCAGTTTGGAAGAAATGCTTATGTGTGATGTCAAACTTATTTCTACATGGATATTATCATAAGAGTTTGTGCTCACCAGAATTCACCAGTGAAAGCAAAGGGCATGAATAACATTCTGTTCCTGGAAACAATAATTAATGTATCAGTTTACATATTCTCTTGAGTTTAAAGTGTCCAGATTCATCTTGAGTTATGGCTCAATGTTGGGACATTTCTATCAATGACTGTATATCAAATATAAGACCGTTTTTTTCAGGGTAGGAAATGTGGTTTGGCACTGTTCAAACTCTCCGGCCACCTTCAACAAGCTGGTCATTTGTGCTTTACATAGACACATAAAATCTCTATTTTATCATTTTTGAGTTGAAGTCCAAGTGGACGTAGATTTTTAGCAGCATTTTTATAGAATATTTTCCTCTTGAAACCAGAGGATATCGAACAGATAAAAATAACCAAGATTTTTTTTTGTGTATGTCTACATTATATAAATAATTTTAAAATGAGAATCAATATATTTTTTGTATTTTTAAACTAAATATATTATCATTTAAAGCTGTATTAAAGATTATAAACATGCAGTTTTGGAAGCAACACAATTCAATCATTGTGACAAAGAAGTAACTAAAATACAAATGGATTACTGATTAAAACCTGGGTAGAAAGGGTATCATTTCATTGAATCCTCTCCTGCTGATTTAAGGCAGTCGAGAACACCTTCAGCTAATAGCTGCATCGCATTTCTTGGTTTCTTGGATCGATTGATCTGACCTTCAAAGGTCAGGAGGTCACATCTGACCCCTTAAATGACCCCCTATGCAGAGCAGGAGGCCAGACCGGAGGTTTCCCCTCATATCAGCCATCCATCTCCACCTAGGAATTATTATCAATAGGAACCCCAGGCTATGTTACGAAAACCTCCTGGCCCTGGGGTTAGAACCAGCTGGCAGGGAGCAGCGCCCCGGTGCTTTCTGGCGCCTTACATCCGTAAAACAGTGTCAGGTGTCCCGGGCTCGGCACAATGCTCGCTGATATAATGGTGGTATTGTAGTGTCTGAGTTACATAAAGTGACGCTGAGAGTGCAGATTTGATGAATCAAACACCTTCTAGCTCAAAAGATGTTCTCTTGATAGAATATTTGGAAATATAACCGCTTACAAAAGTTATATCTTAGTTACTTATTGTTTCTTTTTCAAATCAACTCTAGTATGATGAAGCCACTTGGAACTGACTGGTAACAGAAAATGCAATGTTAAGTGTTTCACTTTTTACCTATTTACTTGAGATTTGATACACATTTCTTTCCTTTTACAAAATGAACACAAACAGTACCAGCGCAGAAGCTCTATATAACATTAAGAATAATGATGAAACAAGATTTTAATCATACTCTTTGATTCACTTAAAACAAACCAGAATGTCCCTTAGTTTAAAGCAAATACTGAGAATAATACAAATCCTAAGAGCATATTTTAAAAAACTAGTTCTTAAAAATGCAATTAATAATTTCAAAAATGGTCTCTGTATTCTGAAGCTATGATATAATAACTCTGTGGATTTGACAATGATTTTATAAGAAATACAAAAACAAGAAGACATTTTGTGAGTGCTTGTCTAATATTTGGATTGTATAGCTTTACATCTTCATGCTTTTAAAAATAATTAAAATAAACGTGAGGGTTTAGAAACAAGGAAAGAAACCACTGACCTAGTTATTGATCTCTGATGGGAAGATGTTCACTGAAGCAGCAACACGAGGAAGTCTGAAGAGACGGAGCCATTACTGCAATCACACCAGCAGAGAGCAGTGCAAATGCACATTAATACAAAACAACAGTAGATGCATTCATTAATCATGTTAGTTTAAATGATTCCATAATGTTTTGCCTACTAAAGAAATGTCTAAGAGTGTAGGTATAACTCTGTTTTATGGCATCTGATTTTCTTCTTTGTAGTGGGTAACATTAGATTCATTACTTATCTGATTATTTTCTTAAGAAAGGCAAGTTTTATTTAAGAAAGACATTTGTGAATTTTATTGTGGACTATTTGAATAACAATCAATTCAGAATTTAAATCAAACATTACATTATTTTAGTAGGATGTATTGCAAATAGAAATGATGAGAACAATACATTCATCTGGAAAGGTGGTAGAGGTTATGCAGCTATTGGCTGGTTTGCACACAAAAACATTTAGAGTAGAATTAAAAATGATTTATCTTTGTAATTATCTCACGAGGCAGTCTAGGTTTTTTCCTCCGTACAATAATTAAATGAATTAGAAAATGTTGTTTTTAAGGTGATTTTATTTTTGTGTTTGAGTTTTTTCATTCATGTTTCTCTTAATTAACCCTTAGATGCATAAGTGGGTCTTTTTTTAAGTATCTATATAATTAAAAAAAGTATAATTTCATATTCCAGCTATTCCTCAAAAAACCTGTTTTGAATATCATGCCATTCAAATTTAAAATGTAAATGTTATACATTTTAAGAAATTGTAGTTTTTGTATTTCTACCCCAAGCTAAGTGGGTCAAAAATGACCCGCATGCATTTCCTATGGGATCCTATGGGAACCTTTGATTCTTATCATCTGTTGCTGTCAGGAATACATTCACTGTCGACCACACAGACGACATCACAAGTGACACCTCTCAGGAAGATTATTTTACGCAGCAAGATCTGAAACCTGTCAGTGTAATAATAATACATTATATTTGTATAGGGCTTTTCAAGGACTCAAAATCGCTTTACAATATAAGGGAAGGTTAGGGTGGGGGGTATAGGACTATCAAACTTGATCAACTGGCATGGGTCGATGGGGGGCGGGCTATGAGTAGACAAGAGGAGAAGAGATGAGTTTTGAAAAGGGACTGGAATACTGTGAGGGTCTCAGAATAGCGGAGATCTTTGCATCAATATGTTCAAAACGTTTTTTTTCAAAATGTCAAAAAAAATGTCAAAAATTATAAATAGTGAAAAATTAAATATAAAATATTTCTAATGTGAACCAAAATATAATACAAAATATTATAAGAGTGATTTTTCTTAACCATAAAAACACATTATTCTAATACGGGTCCTTTTTGACCCGCTTATGGACGAGAGTAGTGTCCAGTCACTCGGGCATCTAAGGGTTAAAAAAAAGTATTTTCATAAAAGAAAAAGGTAGATAAAGTGTGCTTTTCATTAAATTCATACATTTGACTTAATTTTATGTCATTTTTAAACATTTTCTTTTGTTTTCATAAAGCGACATAAGCATTCCGTTGCTCATTTCAGTTTTTTCCCCAGAGTCATGCTAATTAAAGCAAATTAAATCACCCTCACAAAACCAATTAAAGCTTCCCAGCGGCCAACAGTTTCCAATATCACCCCACCAATACCAATAACGTAGCATAATCCGCGAGGAGTAAGAAACAAAGAGCAGCTCTTTCATCGCCGCCGAACATTCATCACCCGCCCCGCCTCTCATTACCTCAGATTTCACTCTAATTAGTACAGCACAAAGACGTTCTGATGTAACTATGAGCACAGCCTGGTAAAATGACTAATAACTAGCAGCTTAAAGCCTGAGGGGAAGAAGAAAGATGCTTCAAGGAGCTAAGGTCACAGTGGCGTTACATATTTCCTGGAACATGTAAAGGTCACTAGTGCAGCAGGACAAATCTCAAGAGATGTAATATCGGTGAACATCTATGGCAAATGCATACCATAGATGCAATGTTGTAGAGGTTATAAAACTGTGTGTTCTTGTATCAGTTAGCAAAAAACATCAAAAGCTCCTTTACGCAGTACAGCTATGAATTGCGCTGTATTGCAATCAACTAAAGGTGTGGTTGAATTATGCCACGAATTACACATATGATGTTTGTCAATTTAAAAGATAATTTTGCAAGTAAAAAAAATAAAAATGTGTCGTAAAACTGTGAAGTACCACTTTTGTGTAAAACCGCTCAACTACGTCTCCCACCTCGCACCACACACCAAGATGGCCGTCACGTTGGCACATTTCACTTCTTTCTTTCAGAATGAGGCGGAAAGTATTAAAAGAGGTGAAAATCACTACAAGTTGGTTCCGTAAGAGCCAGCATGCCGGACCGGGATTCTGGGATTTGTAGTCTTTCTAGTTGCGTATTTTTCATAGTCTTATATTTCCACAGTTTTACGACAAACTGTGACTTTTTTGACATGGAAATGATTTTTTAAGATTGACAAACATCATATGTGTAATTCGTGGCACAATTCAAACGGGATCGAAAGATAATCTTTCTCTCTCCGTTGACTTCAATACATAATTTTTCCGAAATAAGGTCCCATGGGTCGGAAGTAGATGGGCGGGACTTCGCCTCTCTATTTATGGACGAGCTATACAAAACTGCTGGAATACACCTTTAATTAGGTATTTATTCATATGCTAATGATAAATGAACTGATGCTATAAACAGATATTTTCTCTTTTAAACTGTGTATGCACATGAGGGAAAATCAGACGGGGGATGAAGCTGTTTTTTTGTAATTGGAGATAGATGCTTAGGTGAGCACTCTCAGCCCAGATTCAAACTTGACAACCGTCAACTGTGGCCCATGAGAACCTGAGCGACTGTTGTCTCTCACCCACATGTAAAGTGATACCTGGAAAACATCAGCACACCCAGTTGTACCTGTGATGCAGTCGTCTCTTTTTTCTTTCTGAGACAAGCCGCTGAGTAGGAGGCAAAAAGTAGACGTTCAGCTTGGGATGCACACGTCTCGAGGGTCTGAAGACGGATCAAAAAGAGATATTGGATTCTAAATGAGTGGCTTTGGATCTGAAAACTAGAGAACACCTGAGATGAAGATCCGTGTGGTCCAGATCTGGGGATTCCTGATGACAGTTTTAGGATGGATCTTCGTGGCCTGCACCATGGCCATGGAGGGCTGGAAGATCACCTCCATCGGGGGCATGGGGGGCTCCTCCATCCTCAAGGTGGCCTGGTACTGGTCCAGCCTGTGGAGATCCTGTTATACAGACTCAACAGCTGTCAGCAACTGTTACGACTACCCTGTGCTGTGGTCTGTGGAGGGTAGGTCACACGTCTACAACAAAGCATCCAACTAGCATCCAACCTTTCATTAACATCCATTTGTGTCTTACTGTGTGACTCCAGGCTACATCCAGATAGTGCGAGGCCTGCTGATGTCAGCTCTTTCCCTTGGTATGCTGGGATTCGTGCTCAGTCTGTTGGGAATGGAGTGCACCTTCGTCGGGGGAAAAGACAGGTCAAAGCACAAGAAGATATACGTTGGCGGATGTTTCCACGTTATCAGCGGTAAATATCTCGTTTGAATAAGGGGACAGTCAGCAGATAGAGTCGAATGTGAGTGTGTGTTGTCTACATGTTATTTAACTTAATTTCTAGCACCATTACCAGATTAAACTTTCCAATGCTTTGTTAATGTCCTGATAAATACCTGCAAAACTATTGACTGTAATAACTAGCGAATGATTCTCTGCTTTGTGTTTAATGGTTACCAGTATGTTAGCATCCAAGCTAACACGCTCAACAGAGTACATACAATAGCTACTAAATATTATTGCATTTTTAAATAGAATTTAGCTCAATAAGGTTGGTTTATTATATTTGATGACTTTGGTGAATTCGAACTAACTCTGTAAAGACAGAGTAACCATCACGGAAACTCTTGAGTTCTGCAAGGGAATCAAAATCAACTCCTCTGATGATCTCTGTACATACTGACATTCAAACACCTGTTGTACTGTTATAAACAGGTTCCATATTGTTGTCTTGTGACTGGGTAACTGCTAGAATTGAGCTATTTGTGCACAATTGAACCAAAGAGCATTGTCTACTCTTGTTAAAATGATACAGCAAATTCAAAAAGATAAAGATAATGAAATGTTTGTAGTATAATTTTCATATCTTGCAACATTTTGTGACCCTTTTAGATGTATCTTGTGTGCACCTTTTGGGTCACTACCCTTAGGTTAGGAAACACTTGTCTCTTTCTAATATTCCTGGCTACATCAATCAGCGATGCTAATAATATATTCTAAATATATGATTTCTCTAAAGGCGTGCTCTCCACATGTGGGTATGCAGTGTACGCCCAGTATGTCTCAGTAGAATACTTCAACCCGGACTTTAATGGACTGAAGTAAGTTAACAGCCCTTAATGTAGCTATGTAACCTGTGTCATCAAGAAAAAACATTAAGCTAAAATATGAATCTCTCAATCTATAGGTATGACCTGGGCACCCCCATGTTCCTGGGATGGGTGGGCTCTGCCTTCCACATGGCTGGAGGTTTCTTCTACCTGTGGTCAGTGTGCACGCCGCTCTATGGAGGAGAGGTGAAGTGAGTACAGACACATGTTGGAACATGTTGGGGGAAGTGAATAAATAACTCCTCTCTCCGCTTCCTCAATAAATACCATTCTCCCGTGTGCTCGGGTGGAATGACTCGTCAAAAATGCATGAGCAAGTTAAAGGTGGCAGTGTGCAGATGTGCACTGTGGGAAGGCTCCCTCCCACCCACCGTGTAACATCCTGAAGCCATCGCCGTAAGCAGGCAGAGGAGGTTGTTAAAAGGGTGGGAAACAACTGCTTGCTGCGGATTCACTGAAGGAGCGCAGAGAATACATCTACAAAAAAGCTGAATCTCACATTCAAGATTAGTTAATGACATCATGCTCTTTAATGTTTATCCTTCTCCTCCACTGTTTCCCCCGTTTTCTCTCTTATTTTCTTCCTCTCCTCATGATCTCCTCTCTTGTGTCCTTCTCTCCTCCTCAGTCTTCCTCTCCTCTTCCTTTCATTTTCTTCCCTCCTCTCTTATGTTTCCTCCTTTCCTGTTTCCTGCCCTAATTTCCATTTTGATCCTCTGCTCCCTTGTTTCCTCCTATCCTCTCCTGTTGCCTCCTCTCCTCTCTCCGTATCTCCTTTTCTCTCTCGTTTTCTACTCTCTTCAAATCCACCAACCAGCAACTATAAAACTCACTCAACAAACCTCTGAAGACAAAGACACCGATTGTTGCCTTGATCTGCTTGACATCAATGCGTTTCTCTCCGCAGAGTAATGACGGTCAAGGCACTACCAGATGTGGAGCAGAACAAGTCCATCACAGCTCTGTCCTCAGTGTCCGAGATCACCTCCAAAACTAAACTGTCCTCCGTGTCCGAGCTGTCGTCCAGGTCTGAGCGCTCGGATCTGTCGGACATTTCCTCCAGGTCAGGACGCACAGCCAAATCAGGGCGGTCATCGAAGACAGGGCGAACCTCCAGGTCTACTGAGTCAGCACGGTCTGCGGGGTCAAGGTCAGGGTCGGAGTCTGTGGTCTCATCGATGTCTGGCGCATCAACAGTGTCCGGGTCAAGGAGCAGCGGCAGCAGCAGGACAGTTTCATCGCTGTCAGGAAGCTCACGGAGCGGAGCTAAACCGTTCCTCAAAAACTCTTATATATGAGCAAATGTGAGATCAATGGAAGCCCAGAGAAGAAGGGGAAGAGTCCTGCTGATTCATTTTCTAAGTCTGTTTTTTTATCCTGTCTTGGGGTTGGTGTCAGGATTTGAGCGTGTTTGTTGTTGTAATACCATTATTATATGACAGTAATGTTACATAACTTATGTGTTAGAGTGCGTGGAGAAATTAAAACTCACCTGGAAAGAAACACAAATGCATCTAGTCCTATTTAGAACAACAATCAGCCTCCAGTGGCTTAAATGAAGAAACAAACGATAATACAATTAAATCACTACCAGAGCTATTTCTCCCCACCTGTTTTCATTCAAAAGATGACATTGTAAAAAAGAAAAAATTCCCTTTTGTAACTTTTTAAGGTTAACCTGGAAAAACCTTTTGAGTCATTAAAGCAGGAGAGATGTTCTATTCAATGTATGGATCTGTTGTGAATAAACATTGTGCAACAGGAATGTTTACTGACGAGATTCCTGCAGCTTGTAGTTCCTGTTTATCATCGATTACGCGGCACACCTAGACATCATACCATTCGATAAAACAAATAACTGAGGCATATTTCTCATTCCTTTAACGCTGGCAGCCTTTCTGACAACAACTCACTCTACCAGGCAGACTGGTTGACAGTAAACACTATCTTTCTTGCAGCTATGTAACACACATACACAAGCAGCTGCTCTTAGAGGACTGAACAATTCCGGCTTTTACTTTCTTAACTTCTTAGTGGACTACTTCACATCTGGCAATATTGGCTCTACTTTTCATCTAAAATGTGTAAACATCTGAGTCATTTTTAGTGCCTAATGAGAGAAGGCTGTTGTGTTTACCAGAGTGAGGGGATGTGGAGGAGACTGGCTCAGATCCTGGCCCTGCTGCTCTGCATTCTGGGATGGGTCTTTGTAGCCTTCACTCTGGCTATGGACCGCTGGAGGTAGGCAAAAAAAACGATTCGACAAATCGCAATTGATTTATTTTAGCTCTTAAAAAAAGTGTCTTGACTGAAGGAAGGAATTAAGGAAGCCAGTCTAGGTGACAATTTGAAACAGCTTTTGGATATGATGAGAGAAAAATAATCACATTGATGTATGAAAGGGGAGGTGTGACATTTAAGGGCATTTAGGAGTCAGGAAGGGTCTAATGACAAATACTTTTGAGTGGCATTGTGGTAAATGTAGGAAGAGTTCCAGTTTCAGTTAGTTGACATATTCATAATCAATCCTGGTAGCTGTGGTCATTCAGTAGCTCAAAAACGTTTTTTGTTCATTGTGTGTCTATTTTCTTACTGGAGGGTGGCCCAGGTGGGGGGTCGGGGGGGCTCCTCTGTGGTGGAGGCAGCCTGGTTCTGGTCTGACCTGTGGAAGGACTGCTATGAAGACTCCACCGCTCAAGTCAACTGTGTGGACTTCCGGGTTCTGTGGACAGTCAAAAGTATGTCAATAACTATTCCATTTCTTGAATGCTAAATAAATGAATTACTGAGCCTGAGGTGTGTTTGTTTGTTCAGCACACATCCAGGCAGTGAGGGGCCTCCTGATGGTCGGCCTGTTCCTCGGTTGCATTGGCACAGTGCTCACCTTTTTTGGATTGGAGTGCACACTCATTGGTGGAGACGAGAGAAGTAAAGACAAGATGTTGATAACAGCGTCTGCCTTCCACCTGCTCGGCTGTGAGTACCATTTGTTAGCAATCACAAAGCATGTTAGCAGGAACAGATACTCACTGGTTGTTCCTGTTTTTTCCCCGTGTGTCATCGGCTTTCCCTCATGCAGACGCATCAGCCGTGGCTGCTTATTGTTTATACATACACAGAGTGCTGGCAGCTTTCTTGCGCAGTGAAGCAGATCCATCAGAAGTGAGGTAATGTGTGGCATCTAATTTACTCTCATTATTCCGATAACAGTGAGGAAAATAGAATTGTTTTCTCCGCAGCTATGAGATTGGAGCCCCCCTCTACCTTGGCCTGGTGGGATGTTTCCTTATTCTTAGTGGCTCTACAGTTCACTGCTTAACTGCATGCAGAGCTAACCACTGGAAAACGTAAGTTAACAAACCATTTAGCAAAAATAATCTCACTTTCCTATGAGAGAGCCTGGAGATTTGAAACTATAAATTGCTATTTGGGTATATTTACCAATAGATCACTAATGTAAACTGACTTGATACATTGCTTTCTCTTCAGAAAACATCCTGTGGTTCCCCCTATCAGTGTGAAAGGAGAACACACGTGCGGAAGGTCAATAATCCTCAGAAACGCCTCCACCTACCAGATGGTGTCGGTTGTGGTTGTGTAACACTTCAGATAGTTTTTTTAATAAATAATAACACTTGTTTTGTATAGATTTCTAAATAATTTATTTTGTAAATAACACCTGTGTACCCGCCCCCTTAATTTCACAAACAGTCCTGAGAACGTAATCTAATAATGCCAAGTGTGTGATTATTGTTTTAAGTGTATCCTTATATTATAAGTCGAATACCTAATCAGCTATGTATTTAAAATAAACAATACAAAAAGGAATGATTTTCATCTTTTGTGATTTTTTTCTGAGCTCTGACATAATTTGTTTCTTTGATGTTCTGTTGGGGTTGTGGAGACTTTTCTTTGCCTGTTCCTATCTCTTATCTTAATGCATCGTCAATACAACACAACAACTGTTAAATGTTTCCTTTTTTGTGCTAAGGGAATGATTTCCGCTTTAATTGTAAGATACATTTTGGGTTATAATGAATGTATTTTATACAAAGAACAAAGGTTGATTTTGCAACAATGAGGAAGACAAACAAAACACAAGGGTTACTTCAAATGGGAGCATGATCCGGTGCGACGTCATCCTTCACCTTTCTGCCTCAGTGCTGGGAACACGAAGGATGCTTACGAGGCAAAACCTGGAAAAGATAAGATGACAACACTGCAGGTCTGACGCCTAAAGAACAACAAAGAGCTCAGTCCTGTTTCCCACAGTGAATGGTGTGGATGGTACTCTCTTTATTTAACACACCTCATTAGTTTTGATCTCACCATGAAGTACAGGACGGTGGTGATGTACATGGAGATCGGCTGCTTCGTGTCCTGCCTGTGTGGCTGGATCCTGGTGTGCTCCACTCTCCCCACAGAGTACTGGACCTTCTCCGAGGTGGGCAGCGTCGTGCTGACAACCTCCAACTACTACTCCAACCTGTGGAGGGACTGCATCTCCGACACCACGGGGGTCTCCGACTGCAAGGACTATCCCTCCATGCTGGCCCTGCCTGGTAGGATCATCACAACACTTCTTACATTATATCAATAAAAGGTGTGGGAGCATTTTCCAGACATGAGACGAGCAATTAGAAGATCCTGCAAGTCACTTTTATAAAGACTGAGTATCTGGTTGCTCTCATTGTAAGTTGCTTTGATTAAGAGTCAGCTAAGTTAAATGTAACCACAAAATAATGACTTACTAACCAAAAATAATGAGTAAGGACTGCAAAATAATGATCAAATTAATTTAAAATAAATTATTAACTGCAAAATAATGACTTAGTCTTTAAAAATATTGAGTTAGTATCTTAAAATATTGAAAAACTCTCATACTTTAGCATTAAAAGTTATTGATAGCATTATCAATATTTCTTTGTAGCTTCCTTCTGAATTTGGGATGAATAGGCCTCTGCCGCATTACTTCAAAAATAACATCCATCATATTGCATTTCCTTGTCCCACAGAGGATTAAGGTACAAACCTTTCAAGCTTTATTTCAGTCTCACCTGTTTTCTCTCAGCGTTCCTCCACGCCTGCAGAGCGCTCGCTGTCTGTTCTGTTATCACTGGTTTCTTTGGAGGCGTCCTCACACTCGTGGGGATGAAATGCACTAAAATCGGTGGATCAGAGGTTGCCAATGCGAGGGTGACCTTTGCAGCTGGTATTACCTACCTGGTTTCAGGTAATATAATATATATTTAAATACATTTTTCAGCATTAATCTTGTGAATGTTTTGCACTTCAAAGTCATCTATATTTGTGATAGGATTCTGTGGTATGATCACCTACTCATGGTGGGCCAACAAACTCGTGACAGAATTCTTGGATCCAACTTTCAGGGCACAGAAGTGAGTAGTTTTTAAGCAGCATGATTACAATTACTATCTGAGAGACAATGGGTGTTTCTCAATGTCAAGGAAGGATGCTCCAGAGCCACTATTTCAAGGATGCTACGTCATCGAGTCCCGCCGAAGGACTGTTCCAATGTCCAGGCTCCTTGGAATTCTACCGAGCCCGGCGTCCTTCGTAGCGAGACATTTAGAGGCTGCACATGTGTATCCTCCGCGGTCTTAAAATCCCCACAATGCTTTGCGCACGGACCAATTTCCAAATCTTTGGCGGAAATCTAGGAAGGATTCTTGCCTCGCTTCTGAAGGAAGTGACTCGGAAGACATGTCCTACCAAGGAAGCGTCCTCGACATTGAGAAACACCCAGAGACTATAAGTGCAGAAAAACTAATCATAACTCTTGATAAACCTCCAAACTTGCTGTTCAGATTTGAAATTGGAGCGGCTATTTTCGTTGGCTGGGGAGGCTCCACTCTTCTCATCTCTGGAGCAACAGTGATGACTTACTTCTCCGGAAAAGAAGGTCTACCATCAAGGTAAATATGAAACCTCTTATATTTCACCTATTGCCATTATTATATTTATTTAGACCATTTGTGTCAACAGATCTCCAAAGAGGCCTCACAGGCCGGCCACTTACGCCACCGCCCGGACCCGGCAGACCTACATGCTGCCGAACACGTCCTCCAGAGGGAATAAGGGGCCACCGCTTTACTATGAAGGCAGGAAGAGCCGAGGGACAAGAGCCCCCACGAAGACCAGCGCGACCTTCAACAGGGACAGCTTCGTCTAAAGTCTGAGCCGAGGAAGTGACTTCAAAGACTTAATTAGAATAATCAATACCACTCTAGTGTCTTGATGTTCAATATGAAGCCACAGACAGCATTCTGTAAGCCTAGATTAGCATAAAGGTAATCTTGATGCTGCAATTAGTCAATATTTTTGTATTTATAGCTGTTTCTTCATCAGTGAGCATCCACCTTTAACTCTAACCCGTCCTATCTGCCTTCTTTGTTCCTTTGAGACAGGGTGAAAGTATAAATGAGTACAAAAAGGAGAAACATTGCTCATATAGTACCTTCACAGCATGTGATACGACTTGGTATTTTAGTTTAAAATGAAGACCTTTCCATGCTTCATCTAACCTTTTTTAGTGTCTTGCCTTCATCAGGTATGCATCACTTTCCATTTATACATTATTGTGACTTATGATGAAACTAAATTAACATAACATAACATTCTCAATACGTATACGACACTTTCAGAAAGTATAACTATTGATGAGCAAATTAATTCAGTGTCCATATTAGGTTTCCTTTCCTTTTTGGTATATACTTGGTGGCATCTTACAGAGTTGTTCTGCACTTCTTCCAGGTCGCCAGAAGATGGCACTCAAAATCAGACCATCAAATGATGATGTTTGGTATGCATAGTATCTATGGTGGCTATAAGTCACATTACTGATCACTTATTCAACCCCAGATTCCACCCTGAAGAAGGAAAGACAGCTGAAAATGGTTTGGTAAATGAAGCATGGTGTACTGTGGACTTCTTTCCTCAGAGCCAATGATATTCGAGGAGGCCGTGGTGTCAGAACAGGAAGCAGTCACAGCTGTCAGCCTCCATAAAAAGCCAGTTGCTCATATTACAAATGAGCTTCATGGCCAAGTCAGCCAGTCAGAGTGAAGCGCTGACACTTAAGCTGATGCTGATAGTTAATCATTTATCATCTCACACCATAAGCAGCGGTGGAGGAAGTATTCAAATCATTTACTCACGTAAACATAGCCAAACAAAAAACACAATTTACATTAGTTAAAGTATCAAATCTTTAGGTAGTGTGTAGTTAGCAGAATTGCCCGTCAGAATTTTAAACTATTATAAAGCAAAATGAACTATAATGTTGTTTGATGTGCAGCTAATCTTTATAACTTCATGCACCGTTTTATTATGTTTTTTAAATAATGTTAATGTGACATTTTAATATCAATCAATACATTTTAGTTTGAAAAAAAGAACATTCATGACATGCCTATATTGTCTAGTAACAGTTAGAAAGGATTGATTCTACAGAGAAATCTTTTATTGCTGGTTTAAATATTTTCTATACAAAATCACATTTCATCGCTCCATTTGACACATGAAGCATTATCAAAATTTGATTTACAAAATGTCATACAAACTACATACAGTACAGCATCTCATTTGGAGTGTTAGTTATATTTTAGTATATATATCAAAAGAGGAAAAAACTGGATTTAATGTTGAACACTGAAAAGGTCTAAGGCAAGCAAAGATTGGCACAAGGTGAGGGTGAAAATGAGAAGTCAGTTAAAGCTGTAATTTAATATGTTTAGACTCGTTGAATGTTTTATTACAAAGTCCCATTATATATTGCTTCATCTCTATTATAGCTTCCATAGAATAACAGTATAACATATGGCTATGGTGTCAGAGGAGTTGAGGTCTTTGTGTCTGTGCTTGGCGTAGAGCTACCTCACCTGATCAGCTGTAGTGTTATTTGTATTTATTGCTAAAGTCCTCCGAGTCGCTGATGTCACTGAGGGAGCACAGGCTGCTCTTCAGGGTACTTCCTGTTCCTGCTTCAGTCAGACCTGCAGGGCACAAGACAGCTGCGTTACAAATGGGAGAAGTCCGAAATAATCATCATTGAATATTATAAAACTGCATTTATCCATCCTACTACGAAGTTCATAAGGTGTGTAAAAAGAATAGTACAAACATGTTTTGCATTAAGGCATCTAAAATGGTGTTAACCTTTGTTTTTGATGCCAATAAAAATCTGTAGTTTAAAATCAAGGTGCGCTTGATTTACTTGACTGTAAAGGCTTTTATCCAGTTTCAAGCCACATCATTCTGATACACTCTAGGATTCTGGTCATTTGTGTCTATATTAGGGTTTCAAGTTTTTGTGGGACTGACCTGATTTGGGAGCCTTTTCCTGTAGATGTCCCCCAGACGCTGGTGCTGGGTGAAGTCCAGGCTCTTCACTCGTTTGGTGCCGGCGCTCTGAAGCAGTTTAGACATCTCCAGCCTGTCCTCTAAGGAGGATCCCAGCCAATCACTGCTCTCCTCTAGATCTGTGTACTGTCGAACACACACACACACACACACACACACACACACACACACACACACACACACACACACACACACACAGCACACAACACACACACACACACAACACAACACCACACACACCACACACACACAGCACACACACACACACACCCACACACACACCACACACACACACACACACACACACCACACACACACACACACACAACACACACACACACACACACACACACACACACACACACACACACACACACACACACACACACACACACACACACACACACACCACACACACACACACACACACACACACACACACACACACACACACACACACACACTGAACCAAACACACACACACACACATCACCAAACACACACAGCACAGCACTTTATCCCCAACTTCCAGTAGACCAAAGGGTGCACTGAGGTTCCATTAGAGTGATTCTCACCGTGAGCTCCTGAACCTCATCCTTCCTCTCCGGAAGGATGCTGACGCCCCCTGCTGGTTTCTTTAGTGATCGCTCTGCAAACTGCTTCTCCATTTTTCTGGCCAAGTCACTGATTTTGTTCTCTAAAAAAATACATTAAAACAAATGAGAGCTGCACAATATATCGAAAATATACCGTTATCGCAATATCAGCTTTTGCGATAGACATAGAATGCAAATCAATAAATTGTCAAGAGAAGCCCATGCTAAATGTCCCAATTGAATGATTTCATAGTAAAGTTATCATTCATTTGCTGTATGGTTTAAACTGACAGGGAATAAAGCTACCTTTGCCAACGTTTCTCTTTTCCACGTTTCCGTTCTGATCTTTGAAACTCTGTAGGCGTTTGGGGTCGATCTGCTGCAGCTCGCTGACGTCCGACCAATCGTCCTCCTCATCGCTCTCTATCTTTGCGACTGTGGTCTTGGTGACACCGCCCCCCGACCCCCTGGTCTGCGGGGGGTTGGAGGAGAATGAGGTCCTGGACGGAGCCTGACCTGACTGGACCGGACTGGCTCTGATCTGGGTCAGGTTTAGTCTGGGCTGTGGGGATTTGCCCCTCTGCGGTTTTTTGGGCGGTTCCTCCTCCATGTCTGTGTCCTCTCCTTCCGATTCAGCATCGGAACTGAAAGGAGGGGTCCTAAATAATCACAGAAACAAATTATTAAATTGTATAAAATATGAAATCATACCTTATTCTTCCTTCTACTCTTCAGCTTCAGACTAGCTAATTATAAATGGGTTCGGGTTAGAGTTAAAGAATGACTAAATGATTTATAGTCTTAGGTCATATCAAATTGTTCCTTTCTAAATGTACAAAGTTAATCTTGAAAGTTTGGTTTTATTCATCGAATGTCCTCCCACAGCTCTCTTATTACTTTCTCAGACATTAATGTAAAACTACAAGAAGCCTTTCCATGTTTTACACAGTTTTTCTTTACTTCGATGCGAACGTCTTCAGAGTGTTCTTGGTGTTGGGTGTAGATGTCTTGGGTTGGGTGGTGGTCTTGGTCCGCGGTGCCGGCTGGGGGGTCTTGGGCTGTTTGACTGCAGGTTTTGACATCACTTGTGTATCTCTGGAGGGCAGGCTGCTGGATCGAGGCCGGATCTGCACCACTACGCACAGACAAAAACACTTCATGTAAACAGAGTTAGCGGATCAGACGCTGCCACTTTGTCAGAGCTCAAGGCGGCTTATGTGGTGGTAAACAACCGATTAGACGCACAGTATAAGACATACACACTGTGATGCCCCTGTGGGTTCATCTGGAGAGGGTGTGGCTGTGCTGTGTCCAGCCTTGATTGCAGTAACTCAGGGCACCTGTGTCTGGTGTCCTGCAGCTACTGTTTGTTGCTTTACTTTGTGCACCTCAACACCCTCACACGTCCATGCAACCCTCATCCTGCATTTACACTACTGATGTCCACACCTCGTGCTTTACTCATTTTTGCACTTCATTAATTTGGTTAATTGGAATTGTTTGCTTAAATAAACATCTTTTATTAACCGTTGAAATGGTGTCTCCCACTTTGTTGTGGCCTTTTGAGCCAGGTCATAACATGGTGGCTCGTTCGACGGGTTATTTTGTAGAAAGTTTGGTTAAAGGTTTGTGTAGTGCTCAGAGCACATGGTGTCGTTGAGCAGCTGTTGATGTGGTCCAGCTACTGGGGGACACATCATGTCTTTTGTGTTTCAGGAAGCCTTAGTGTTTGACATGGTGTCAGGTTTTGTGTGCCAATCAGAAGGTAACATTTTGCTGTTTGATACGCTTTTGTAAAGGGATTTCCCCGCTAGGCTGAAGTGGCGTTTCCCCTTGGGTTGCGTCTGTTTGTTTTTTTCATAGTGTTGTGGCGACAGTGTCAGCTGTTTTCGGACAGCTGTCTCGGGGGCACGTCCACGTGATTGTCAAACCTAATGCAAAAGTGGCCAACAACAGGAAGCTGACTTTCTCCGTGAGGTTATTATTGGTCTGTGGGCCGAGTAAGATCTTAGAGAGATGATCTCATGTGCTTAGAGGCTTCTCCATGACTCACCTTGAACTGGCTGTCTGGCTCTGGGCTGGGACACTGCAGCAGGGTCGCTGCCTCTCCTCTGACAGGCCACCCTCTGCTCCACAGTGCTGGTGATCTCCTCCCGATAGCCCCAGTAGTGAGGCATCCCCTTCGCAGCGCTCTCCCGCTTTGAATGCGCCTTGGCCAGGATGGAACTAAGCTCTTTGTCCTTTAGACCACACTGCTCCTGAGAAGAAGACACAAGTATGAGCAATGGTTACAAAACAAGTAGATTCAAAGTTCTACCTTCCTAAACTTTTATTTGTGTACAATACTTGTTTTAGCCTTGTGCATCACTTTAAAATAGTTGCTCTATGTTTTCTTTAGAGGACCAAAGTGTCCGAAATAGCTGGAAAATAATATTATAACTTGTTTTTGTCTATCTTCACCGAGTTAAAACTTAAACATCATCAGTCCTGATCCTAACTACCAAATGGTCTTTTTTAGAATTCTAACCCTTAATTTGACAGTTGTTTACATAATATTACAATTAAGACAAAAACACACACAAAACTGCAATTATTATCTGTATGATAGGGAGACCCTTTTCTCAGTCTGGGATATCAGCAACAACATTGATTCTTATACATTGCATCAAACTAATAATACAGCAGCATAGCAGGTATTTGACCTATACGACACACATGAGAAACTGGCTCAATCTGCTGGAGAACAGAAACATTTACACATTGGAAAGCACCTAATAGTCGTGGGTTTCAATGGGGACATCTTGGTGCTAAAACATGTCTGTATGGGCGGGGCTACATCATTTATTATAAGAGCTGAGGATAAACATTCAAAAACAGCTCATGCCCAATTGTTTGCCATATAGATGAACCCATCCAACAATGTAATCAAAAAGCCAAAAGTGTCCTCAGCGCTGCTTAAGAGTGTGCACTTACAGGCTTGACTCCCAGGTTCTCCAGCTTCTCCATGACAGCCTGCTCCAGCTCTGGCCTCATCTCCTTCTTGAGGTTGGGGTTCCTCTTCAGAGCGCTGATGTTCACTCTCTGTTTCTTCTCCGGTAGCGGCTCAGGCTTCTTCTCCACCGGCCTCCTCTCAGAGAAGCTGCTCAAGTCTGTGAAGGAAAGCTCACTTAATCAGCCATTTATGAGAAATCAGGCTCAAATTACAGGCAGCAGAGAGAGGCCAAATGAATGAACATGCATTTGCCAACTGTTACAGCAAGCTAAATGCCAAACGCTTATATTGCCGGACGGGTGGGTGCGACTGTGGGGCAGGCAGAAGAGGAGAACGTCTACAAGTCCATTTGCCACGAACAAGATGACGGATGGATGTAATGATCACGAATTCTGAGCAAGCGCCGATGAATGTCACAGACAACAAGCTTGCTTCTCCAATAGACTGATGCATCCATGCAGACAGCATGCAGTCGGCCGGCTGTGTAGCTTTGGCTGCCTGTTTTACCTTTCTCCTCCTCTGACAGCTCCTGTATAGGATCCAGCTTAGGAGCCGACGCGGGCTCCTCTAATTGGACACCACACACGTGAAGTTTGAAGGTCAATAAAGGTGAGGGAGTCAGTTAACATGTGTTTTTATAAAAGAAGGGGGTGACAGTTTGCTTTGTCTATCATTCATGCATGAAAGCACATGCTCGGCTTCTCTGGGTGTGACCTTTGTTTTCTCATGAAAGCTGGTTTCACTAACTTACCCAGTACAACTCTCTTTGGTTTAGGGTCTGGTGCACTGAGGATGACTGGAAAACAGAGAACATGATGAATATCATACACGCACTTAAGTTAAGACTTTTATGATTCAAAGTGAAGGAATTTATACCTGGTACTTCCACTATTTGTGTGGGTGGATTTGAGGAGAAATTCCTTATCTGTAAGTTGGAAAGAAGTACCACTTGTTACACCATGCATAAAGAAAACAATCATTCCTCTTTTGGCTTAGTTATATTCATTAAGATCTGGGTTAAGTTACTGCTAAGCCAACATTTCCAACTGCATTGAATGAAAAGCTTTAAACTGTTGATCTGAGTGCCCTCCATTGACATGTTCTGGACTGCAAGGACAATCAGTTGCCACTTTGCCACCTTTGTTGTTTGGTAAGTTCACTTAAAGGGGTTCCTATTATTCTCAGTTTTGTATTTTGTGTGTTCTGTGACACACTTCACTCGTGGGAAAATGTGGATCTATTCCAGGAAAACCACCAGCTTCCTGTGACGTGTACAGTATCTTCATGTCTCAGTACAATACGATCGGAGCCCATGAAGCTAATAGAGGATATCCTGAACGAGGGCTGACCCGCCGCCTCACTTCCTCCCCCGACATAATCAGTGTTGGCTGTGTGAGTGTGATGGAGCGCTGACCTGGTCCCTCTGAGCCTTGATGGTGTGCTCCTTGTCCTGCAGCCTCCTCCCCAGGTCCTGCTGCAGCCTCTGGCGGCTGTCCTGCTGCTCCGACACCGACGACTGCAGTCTGCTCAGCTCATTCAGCAACTGCAAGGTGGAACAAACTAGATGCTTTTTATGGATTCTTATTTCTAATTTAAGCTTTCGAAATATTTTTTTATTTCAATATTTTAGTTAGCGATTTTTTTTTTGTCGATTCCCTTCTTTCTTTTTTTACCAAGGAAACTAATTAATTATAAGAAAATATGAACAACCTTTCAGTCCTTCTTTACACTAACTTTGAATGAGTACAAATTCCCCAATAAAATGTATTTTACAATAGCCGGTTTGTAATAAATATACAAAACAAGCTTTTAGTTCATGCTTCTAAAGGGGCATGAAGATTACGGATGAACAGAGACGTGCACTCACTTTTCATGTCAACACACGGAGCAGATCACCGTGAATAACTTTAAAGCTATGGAAGATCGCCTCAGTCGGTTATCCAATCTCTTGAAATGAAGGTCAGCTGTTAGAGTTTGCTCCTTATTACGTGACCTTTGCAAGTCAAATAGCTCAGTATAACACATTAGCTAGTGCCATCAGTACATGTCACCTTATTTACCCAAAGAGAAAACGGGGCTTACATAGGCCGATGCATAGGTGGCGGTGCATCCCTAATAAAACCTACCTTGTTCTTTTCAGACTCGTGCAGGGACTTGATTTCCTGCAGCTTGGATCCCCACTTTTTCTCCTAGAAGAGAATATTTGTCTTTTTGGTGTACTCAAACAACTGTATCTACTTCTGTTTAAAAGCGTGTCTCCTCTCTCCACTGACCTGTTTCTTCATTTGATGCTCCAGCTTGTGTATGGCTTGCGTCTGCATCTCTTTGTAGTTGTCCAGATCTCTCTCTGGCTGCGATTGCACAGGGCTTGGTGGTATTTCATGCTTAGCCGTATGATTCTGATTTACTTCCTGATGAAAAAACTGGTATGAATAAATGACATCCTGAAGCGCAAATGAACACCATGAAGAAGTCATTATCCAAGTGTCCCTTTCATACATTTAGAGCCTGTATATTTCGTGTGTAAAGGAATTCCATCTCCCTGCGCATGCCGTCCCTGCTGTCGTCTATCTTTCTGTCCATGCGCGCCATCTCCTCAGCCTTAAAACGCTCCAACTCTCTCAGCAGCTCCTTTTGCATGGACTGCTGCTCTTTCTCCTGGAATCACAGCAACATAAAAGAACTCTGTTAAAGGTAGAAACCCAAATATGATTCTTTTGTTGTTTTACTGGAGAGTGTGACCAACAGCCCGAAAGACAGATACATTTGGAAAAGGTCAATTGTTCAGATCCTTCCCAAAGGTCAGGCTTTCCTACCTGAACTATTTTGGCTTGCAAGTCCTGTTGCTGCTGATCGATCTGCTCCTTCAGACTGTTGATCTCCACTCGGAGGCTTTCATTCAGAGATTTCTTCTCACTCTCTGAACGCAAATCTGGATGGAAAAGAAAGGTATTGTACAACATTGTGATGTGCAGGAATATTCCAAGTTCTACCTTCAATTTACAACAGATATATATATACAAATAAATGGTCTTGCCCCGTCCTTAACATGTGTAATGCTTGTGATTTACCTGACTACTACCTTTTTTTCATTTACTGTATAATAATTCTCTCCCTGTCTCTATTCTTAAGGTGTCAGTAAACCTTTATGACTGCTCCACTCACCGGTCTCATACTCGCCAGGGTGGCGACGCTGCATGTGATTCTGGAGAAACGTGGAATTGAGGAAGGATTTATCACAATGTGGACACTAAAAGACACGGAGAAAATACATTCATTTATTACCGTAACGGGAACAAATGTGACCATAATATACAAGAAAATGTAGTTTAAGTATTGTGAACACATGTTTGCTAACAATCCAACCTGCCACAGTTTAGATTTCGATTTTGAACTACGACTTGCTAATAAATAAGAGGCAAACTCTTGTAAACTACTGAGTGTGTGTCATTAAGGGAGGATTGAATGGAAGAGGTTTGGGGCAAAGCTGACGATGAATCTCTTTCAGGATGGCCCGCTGACTGTAGGCATGTTTCCAAACAGACAGACAGCGTGAGTGATGTTGATTTGTTCCCCGAGGCAGGCGTCCCCACACTCCAGCTCACTGACACTTCACTACTAGAGTAGACGCTGTGTTCTACACATCACACGCTACATTAACCTCAGTCGCTCATTGTGACTTCATTCAATGTTAAACCTGCTGCTACTGATATCTTGCCACGCCATATGGCTCCAAAGATCCAAAGCCAGCCACACGACATGGAAAAGTGTGCCGCTGTAATTGATTACATTAGGGTTTGGAATAACTGTGGAAATCGGGAGAGTAATTCAATTAGCCTTGAGCGCTATGTGTGTGTTTTTGTAGCGTTAACACATGACAAGCAAGTAATGTCCTCAAAGCTCAAACACATAACCTCTCTATCAATTATTGAACCACCTCTGTTAGCTGAGCTTCTACACACACCTAGCAACCACATGCTGTCATGACACACTGTATCTGTTGCGTTGGTAACCGCTTGGATAGGTCAGGTACACTTGAAGACCAAAGAAGGGTTTTTGATTTGTGCTATAAATAACTTAATGGTAAGTGGGCTTTGTAACAGAGACTATATGTATTCAGTTTATAAGAGGGTGGGGGAGATGTCAGACGGTGTCTTGACTACTCACCCTATTGTAAGTGGATTAAAAAACTAATTGCCACCATATGACACCATCTGTTCTGCAGCTCTAAATCCTATTCTTCCCAAAATAAGCTTATTAAAACCTCCCCACAACAAGGCAGCTATGGCTTTTACATTACATAGCAACCGTTTCAACACCAATAAATTGTCACCTTTTCAATTTTTTCCCTCCAAACCCTCAATGCACAAAGCAGCCGAAGCTGTGAATAGATCTTGGGAACAATGACAGACTGGGGGCCCTGAGGAGGAGCGATGGGGGTGGGGGTGATGGAGCTGGCTGTCTGCTTGCCAAACATATGTGAAATGCAAATGGTAACCGATAACCCCCAGAGAGTGAGCGTTTAGTGTCAGCGGTACCTTCTGTCCACTGATGATTCTGGGCGGGATCAGGGACTGCTGGTTGCGAATCAGCTTCTTCCTCTGCTTGAGCTCGGTGGTGAGGGTCTTCACCTTCTCCTCCTGCTTATTCTGCTGAGCCAGCAGCTGCTCTCGATCGCTGGCAGCGACCGCCAGCCTCTCCTCGGCCGCTCGCAGGTTGAGGGTGAGAAACTCCTGGCAGTGGAGGAGCCACTCCACTGTGAGCTGGGCCAGCCGCAAGAGCTTGATTAGAGCTGGGTCCACGGGGCTCTGGCAGCGCTGACACCGCTCCCCGTCCAAGCTGCAGAAGGTAACGCCGCTGATGTGCTCTTGCAGGGCGTCTACATCCAGCTGGCTCACCACCAGGTCGATGTCCACAGCATTGATCCGCCGCCAGTCCACGCTCTCCCTGCGAGGGCGGAACTTGAAAGGCAGGTTGATGGAGGCTCCGCTGGACGGAGTCATGCTGGGTGCAGGAGCAGAGTGGCCGTTTACAGAGGGGTGGCTGAGAGGGGAATTCAGGAGGGAAGGGATCCCTGCTGATGAGTGGGTCCCTTGGGTGTCACCGGTGAAGGGGTAGTATGCTCCGTCGTGAAATGGCTGAAACAAAGAGCACAGAGATTTTGAATAGCCAGTTAAAGAAGATGCAAACCTCATTTCATATCAGCAGCCATAAGAAGAAAGAGATCCAGAGAATATACAGCATCTGGTGTGTGTTGGCAAGGTAAAACAGCAGATTCCACCACTGCCGATTCCATCCCAATCTACCTATGATGCTGTCGCCGTCCTGACGCCGTGCTCTCCTTACCATCATCGACTGGTTGTGCCTTCACGGGGGAGAAAGAAATAGAAGCACCGTAGTTCCTCTCCGGTTCCGCCCCCTTTGCAAGCAGTCGCGCAGGGGCAAGTTACCATGGAGACAAGAGACGAGCGTCCCTGTGGAGAAAAGTGTTATCAAAATACTGACTGCAATCAGCAAATGTTTCCTTACAGTGTGTGGGAGATGGGCTGTGTCCTGTGGGAAACACAGCAATGCGCCTGAAAGCCCCTCACTCGACTGAACCTGTGTGAAAAACTAATGTACCTGCGAATGAGCATGAGGAGGTTTTTACGGCAATGGTTTCCTTGCCAACTGCGAACGCCGATAATCTCTCTCATGTTGGGGCAGGCTGTTTATCCCCTTGCTTGATCTCAATTTAACAATTGCACACATGCTTGAACTTGTCTGCGCAACTATTACAAATGTATTTCTAACACTTTAATGCTAATGTCAAGTATAAACCCGTTCACAAAATGCCAGGAAGGTTAAGCGCTTATAACGGCTCGTGCATTTCAAACCCATTCTTAGTTAACGGTGAACGGTGTTCGGCAAAACTTTAAACAGCGTAGCTAAAACTGAGTTATACATCACCAGCAGATGTGGATATCACAGTTTAAGATGTATTTTCCAGGACTTTATTGAAAAGACTTACCTGAGGGTTTGTTTTCTTATGTTACAGCCTCTAGAAAAGTTTTTTTTTTACGACGGGACCCCAGGCGTTTTGAGGGTGACGTAGATGCTGGTCTCCACATTCCTAAATCCCTGCTTGCAAAAAAGAGGGAGCCTCAAAGCTAACTGTGATGCAAGCATGAACTTCCGGTGAATACCTTAAAAATAAAACGAAGAGTTCTTAAATAACATTCAGTGAGGCGTTTAATTCATAGCTAATAATGGACAATTGCAAAGCAGACACACGTGTCTTGAAAAAATTATACCTATAAAGTTGAATAACTCTTAAATAACTTTAAACAATGAAAAAGTGTGGGACTAGCTGTGATAATGTGGTGTGAGGTGAAGCCCCCTACATTTTTAAGCATTTACTAAGAATTCTTTCTTAGTGAACGTTGATAGAATTACTAACACATAATTTCTAAACAAAGCACTTATACTAATAAAGGAATGGCTTATCTAAAGCCAGTTGAGTAGCACTTGAAATGTTTTGGCTCTATGAAACCTGATGTACTTATATGATTCTGTTTTCTTCAAGTTTGTATCTTCCTGGTCGAATGCACTTATTGTAAGTCGCTTTGGATAAAAGCGTCAGCTAAATGCAATGTAATGTAATGAATTCTAAAATGTGTTTTGTTTGAGGTTTGCAAAGAAAGACTATTTATTGAGTCAATCAATCACCTATCACAAAAAAATCCTTTAGTAGTTCAAGTTATGATCCTGAACTTTGAAAAATACTATGATGAAAAAAAATCATGCCCAACCAAGCAAATCGGCTCACTTCCGGTGGTGTTGGTGGTGTTGTTGAGTCGACTTGACGCAGCTCGCAGAGAGAGGGGGGAAGGGAGAAGCAGACCTCTGGGCTTTGAAATGGAGAAACGGGGAGTCTGAACGCCGTGATGAGGGGGTCTAGGTTGAAGAGGGTCCCAACTTCACGGAGGGAAAGTCTGAAAGCTGAATAAAATGTGATTACAACGTTGAAAGCATAGCACGTGTGGAAACAACCATCAACACAGCTCGAGAGGGATGAAAGGGAAGATTTGAAAACACTTTGGCACGAGCTCCCTCTTGTGGTTAAACGTTTTATTGAATCATCATGGGAAATATGTTGGTGGAAAAAGTATTTAGATCTTGTAATTGCGTTAAAAAAATAAATACCAGAGTCTAGGAATACTCTGTTACAACTAAAAGCCTTGCATTGAAATATTACTCAAGAAAAAGTACAAATGTATTAGCATCAAAATATACTTAATGTACCAAAAGTAAAAGTACTCAGATTGGTCCATTTCAGAATAATATATATATGATATGTTTTGATTATATGTATTGATGCAATAAAGCTGGTAAAGGTGCAGCTAGTTTTAATGAATTGGTTTACTGCAGGGTAGTCTCTGATATTGTAATATTATTAATCATAATAAGTGTGCTTGACCCCTCTATACAATCATAACAACCCCCTGCTGGCACTGCTTTAAAGATGGGTAAATGACTCGGACCCTAATTTACACAAGTGATACAAAATAAAATATCACTAGTTAAAGTCCTGAATTTGTGATCTTTGTTATTTCGAGCCAATCACACACATTACTTGTGATCTTGAGAAAACTAATCAAATCTATTTGTTTTTCCGTGATAACAAATAGATTTGATTAATTTTCTAATTTTGATTCCTGCAGGAATCAAAATGTTTGAACCATACAGCTGCCGTAAAAAAAAACATTCACTTCTTTGTGAAATATTGGATAATCTAACCCCTCATGGGCCTACAACGATTATTGATATGAAAGAATGTGACCAGTTGGGGGGAAAAGGAGCCCTAATTTAGTTTCCAAAATGTAGGTCCCACTTTAAAAATGTATTGTATAAGCTAATCAAAATGTCTGATGATGTCCGTCAGATGGGAGTGTAAAAAGTACAGTATTCATGGCTGTAGCAGCCACCATGTACATTTAGTCACCAACGGAGGTCAGTAGAGATCTGATCTGAGCTCTGCAGACTAGTAGGCTATTATATGGAGGAGTGATGGCCGTTCCTCCCTCCTGTATTCCCTCAGTGTCAGAAGAAATGCTGCCTACTGCTGCTGTGATGGAGAGCATCTGCAGGAGGCGACACACTTCCCGCTTTAATGGGCAGCACAATCAGCGGGGAACATCCACACACACTAATGTCCGAGCACGTACACACTGCTGCTGCTTGTATTCAAGAACCAGTCCCAAATTGTTCTTTGGATGTTTCTTTTTAAGCATAAAATTAAAGATTGATTCGCATTCAGGGCAACGCAGCTAGGCGCTGGCTCAGCACTAAAACAAAATGAAGGAAAGAGTGAAGATGGGTTTTTTCTTTTTAATCACACAAGCTGACAAGAAACAGCCTGCATGGGCACGTCTCAGCGTGTTGAACCCTCCGTCAGAGTCCCACTGCTGGGAGAAGCCATTTCCTCGGCCAGTCCCCAGACAGCTTCAGTCGAGTCCTGATAAATAGAGATTTTAATTCCTGTGAACAGGTCCTGTGACTGGCAGGATAGCGGGGGAGGGGGGGGGGGGGTCCTCGCAGGCCACGTTCATTGTAAAGACAAGCAGCACATCACAATGAGGCGAAGTTCAGCTAGGACAATATGCATGATGATCTGCTTGTTTATCACTGCAGCAGGCCGGAGCCGTGATGTTTACTTGAAAAATCAAATCCACACTTTTTTGATAAGAGTTTACCACAGCAAGAGACACGCGCGCGGGCAGAGAAGTTGCATTAGTCATGCAGTAAAAAGGAGCAGGGGTGTGTGTGGAGGAAGAGGAGCGGACCTCTTGAGATGAGCAAGCACAGCCCTACACTCAATTTACTGCTTGATTTATGAGTTCATTTCCTGCGTGAAGTTCTCAGCGGGGGTGAGGTGGTATATCTTTCCCACTATAGGTAGCTGTGGCTCCACTTCCCTATCTCCCATGAGACCCACTCTCACCACTCCGGGCCTTAGGACTATAAATAATGGCCGCTGGAACAAGTACACATTGAACAAAGAGAGGAGAGGATGCTGAATCTTTATTCATGAAGGAGGTTCTTATCTTCCCCTGCAAAGGACGAGATGGATCTAGACCACTGTGCATATGAGGCTCCGTGCACAGTTATCCTCACTGTGCCTGCTCTCAGATAAGCATCCAGAGATGTTTTGATGCTGTAAAGGTGAAAAGAAACCTTGATACAGCTGCTTTTTTTCATCCGTGTGCACATGCAGTTCATTACCAGGGAAGGATGCATTCAAATAAAGAGACTTTTATCTTTTAACATTAAAAAAGCAAGTTGAGCAAGAGAGAAATGCTGCTTAATTGATTGCTGCAGAAGGTTTCTAATACTAATTCAACAGAAACACAGGTAACTCATTTACTGTAAAATAAGACAGGACTAGAATCCAGACAAACGAAGTGCCAGCTCAGCAGGACCCTCACCACTGCCGCACCAACTTCAAGCCGAGCCGCATCCAGCCTACAACTGCCCACCGGTTTTCATCTCAGACACTTTGTTGTCTATTTTCAACGAGGCAGCCGCAGGGGTCACAAGTGGTGAATCAGCCTTGTGGGAAGGAGAGATTAAAGAGCGATACAGGGGGGGGGGGGGGGGGGGGGGGGGGGGGGGAGGGGGGGGGGGGGGGGGGGGTGGGGGGAGAGAGAAGCAACCCACTGTTTCCTTTCATTGTCCCCTATGAATGTTACACAGGTCAGAAGAAGTACCAGCACCAAATAATTATATATAGCATGACAAATGACGAGGACCGCAGTGGTTTTCTCTCGTCCTCCCACTGAGCTCCAGGTCCAGGCGAATCACAGCAGCAGCAGCAGGATCCTTAGGAGGAACCCAGGAAATGCAGAATATGTGCAGAGATGATTGTGTGATGAATGCGCACATGGGAAGGAAACTTAACTCAGACCGTGTTGTAAGAGAGTACCAAACCCTCCACACAGGAGAATCAACATTTTTCACATGGTAGCCATTTTGATCTCCTTCCTTCAACTTCTTCCCCAAACTCAAATGTTCTACGTTCTAAAATGTTCTAAGCTTGCGTGATATAGAGGGGCGAGCAACGATCATCATAGGATAGATATCTGTCTCTGAGGTTTATCTGCTCCAATCCCAATACAATAGTGTATATAAATGTAAATGATGTTAGAACACTGCAGAAGCTGTTATTAACAGGAAACCAATAGGATGAATTTAATCTCACACTTTATCAGGCGCAGCTGAAGAAAAACCCCACTTGTTTTGACATTTAAGAGAGGCATCATTTCTACACCATTGCTCCCCTGGTTTCTTGCTTAAAGCGTCTAATTATATTTCCCTCTCAGTATTAAGTTACAGGACAATTAGCGCACTGCTTAAACTGCTTTTAGATATACCTGCACTACAGGAAGAAGTATATTAGTGTGAGTTATTTTCATGTTAATACTAACCTTCCTAGCAGCCATGAATTGTGCTTTATTTAGCATCCAAATGTAGGGCTGCGAGTGGAAGTCATGTCCTTCTGGTAGCCCTATTAGAAACTAAATGTTACTTTTGACAGTTTGAACAAATGAGGGAGAGAGCAGGAAAGGGAAGATAACTGTCGCTCGCTTTGAGCTATGGCAGCCATCCAGTACGGGCCTTCTTTGTATTCAGCGAACACCTCCTTTTTGTGTCAGTGTGGGACGAGAGAAGCACTTAACGTGACATTTAGAGATGCTCGGATATTCTCTCTAGGCCAGAGGGAGGGAGAAAAGAACCAATGATGTTATCGCAGACATGTGTTTTAAATGCCAGGAGGGGTGCTTTGCCCAAGAGCTTTGGCCACAGAGAATAACCTCTGGTCGCGGGTCTGGGGCTCACGCTAAGCTTTGTCTGAAATGGTTTCATCTCTTTTCTATCAGATATGATCTTTTAATGCAGAACAATCTCCTTAGATTGTACATTAGGGCTGCTGCTATCCTCAGAAGAAATCCACACACGCGCGGTGCATTTTAAATAGTCGGCCACAGGACAGGACACACAGCTTTATGAGTGGGCGACACAAGCTTTCTGGGATTGCGAATCTTAAGCAGATGGTCGTAATACACATATTAACTGTGGATCACAGCCATTTTAAAGACTTTCAGAGC